CCTGCTGTGATATCTCTGAGCTGCAAGACTCCGAGAGGAGACAGAGCTGGATGTGATCAGGATGGCTGTGCTAGCCTCTCAATCCCTCTGGGTGACACTAGACAAACTTATGACATGTGCAAACACACACACACGCAGACTCTTACTGTACACACATCAAACACACACAGTGCCATTTGGACTTCAGCTTTTACACAGGTGCAAGCAATCATATCTGATCTGCAAGTACTCAAATCGATTTGAGGACTTGTTCTACCTGTCATGATGAAAGCAAGCTTTCTAAAACTGAAAGCAGCTTTAATCTAAGTTCTGTTTTTGTTAATCATTGATTATATGTAACTTACAAAAAGCTCTGTAGCCTGGGAAGACAGAAATGAACTTATCAATTACAGTGCATCAGTTTATGCATGACAGGCTACAGAGATGACAAAGTTATGAACCTTTCAAGCAAATATGATTAATCTCTGAATTGGGAATGACTCCCTTTCCAAACAAGATCTGTAACTTGAAGTATTTCTCAAAGGCCAGAAGGCAAGATTGATTGAGTCACTGAAACTAGGATTTGGCAGTTTCCCTGAACCTCTGAGGACAGCGATAGTGCAGTTAATGTCATTTTATTTTCCTGCAAAATAAAAGCTGGATGAACTCTACGCCTGGAGACGTAGAGTCTCAGCAACAATTAAAATGAAATCCCCCCAATAATCACACAACACAAGACGCTGCTTCGATGTTGTTGATCCAAAGGGTGTGCCATTAGTTAGTTTGTCACCTCTGGTAACAGCTCAGTTGCTAAAGCACATTCACAGCACTCCTTTCCTCTGGTACAGTGTGGCTCTGATTTGACAATGACTCTGCAGAATTTAATCCAGGTCCTGTGTGTGTGCACTGCACTTTATAAATTTGGAAAGGAAGCCAGATACAGAGAATGAGGGGAGAAAATGTGAGACAATAAAACTGCACGTTTTATGCCCACTGGCACACGGATATAGCAGAGAATAGCAAGCGCACAGGAATCCATTAGTGGAACCCGATTATCACTTGGCTCTAAAATTAATTAAGCAAGGCAGTGTGTGTGTGTGTGTGTGTGTGTGTGTGAGAGAGATTTGGTTGTCTTTATCTCTCTTTTTTTAACAAATCCTCTTGTGTTACTGCATCGAAAATCAGATGGAGGTGGGAGGTGCATCCGTCTTTATGGCTGTATTCCAGCACAAGTCCTGATATTGCTGCTGGTGGTGATGTGGTGGTGGTAGATGGGAGGGGGTTGTACACAGCAAATGTGTGACTCATTAGTTTTATTTAATCTCCAGATACACCAAAATATGCTTCCTGTCCTTTTTCTCTCTCCTCCCGTTCTTTCCTCCCTGGATGCTTTCCCAGAGCCTCTACATTTCCAGAAACCTGTAGATATAGTAGCTTCATTTCTGGGTCTGCTGCTGCTGTTCTCCAGCAGCCTCGATGAGCTGGAACGCTCAGGCTCAGGTTCACACTGCAGTCTTTTATCTTGATAAATAAGTTGACTAAAGCTGAGCATACCTGTAGTCCCTCATGCTCCCCACCACCTTTATTTTTAAATCATAAGTACACACAAGTGCACTCAACTTATGACTATTTCCTAAATCTGACTTTTGTGTGTGGGAGTTTTTGTTTGAGCTCACTAGGGGAAGTCGGGCTTTGTGTTTTGTTAAGTGAGTATTCACAACACCAGTGGGATTTCTTAATGGTTATGATTTTAAAAAAGAGCAAAACTTTGGGTGGTATGATGATATACAGGCTGCTGCAAGGTGGTATAAATTTGTCAAATATCAGAACCGTTTCTAAAGGAGTAGCATTGGTTAATGTCCCTAGTGTATTAGACCATAGCAGACAACGTTACAAATCAATGACTAGGACTGCTATGAGTAACAATATTAAGAGTATTCAATTATTGTTTTTGTTTTTTTTATAAATGCATCACCACGATGAGGTACCTGAATCTAAATGATTTAATTTTTCCTGATTGGCCAAAACAAGATATTGCCACGTGATGATTTTATCCAAAAACAGTTTCTCCACTGATTTTCCTGTCATGATTCTGTCCCTCCTGTTTCCGGTCTCGTGATTTTATTTTGACACAACTTCCTGTTATAGCCATATTACAGCTACGAACCTTTTACTTTAATCAACACTCACTGTTTACACCTGTTTTCACCCCGTTATAAGCAGCTTTTCCCCACACTAGAAAGCTGCTAGATTGTTCTTGACTCCCGATCAGACTTTCCAGCATTATTTTTGTTGCTTGTATTTACTGTTCTGACCCCGGATTGCCTTTGACCACCGATTATTGCCTAACCCTCTTGATTCTGTTTGTTTACTGTGCACCGACCATCAGACTCCCCTTTCTGACCTTTTGCTTTAGATTCCTTGGCTGTGTGAGTTTGCCGACTTTGACCCTGGACTGGTATTATCAACTCGAGTGTGCTTTCTGCACTTTTGTATGGTGTACTGTTTATTGTGCTCAGTAAAGAGAAGTTATCTGCTACATCTCTTCTGGCATTATAATTGAGTTCACCATTGACATTGTTGGCAGCTTCACTCACCAACCCTGACATTTCCAGGCAGTTAAATATGGTAGGGTTGTATGATATGGATAAAATCTTCTAGAATATGTAGTTTCATGCCATGACTATAGCTAAAATAAAGTTAGTGGATAAATTGATAATCAGTTTGGCAGGTTTGGTAATTAAAGAGCCATTTAAGTAATTTTTAAAGCAAAAAAAAAAAGAAAAAAAATCCAAACACCAACAATATTGGCTGGCTGTACTTTTCTCTGACAGTAAACCGACTGCTTGAGAGTGTTTTGGACAAAACAAGCTGTCTGAGCTTTTTATTTTCTTTGTTAACCCAGCAAATATCAAGGTACTTCATCACTTCATGTAAAAATGATAAAAATATAATACTGTCATGAAACTCCATGAACTGTTTACAAAGCTGACAAATTTGTATCTGTATTTATGACAAAATTACATTTTTATGAATTGCCCATGTCTATTAAAGATGGGATTTCAAAGAGTATGTGGAACCTGCATAGAGGCAACAACACACACAACACAACACATTTGATGTTATCTTTGTTATCTTAGCTCTTTCTTCTCCCCGCTGACGTTAGAGTATGCTATTAAAGCGGTTGTTTTTGTTGTCTTTTCATGGATAACCTTTAGTATCAGAATGGGAACACTTCAGTATATCAATTAGCTAAATGCTTTGGGGGCTACTACAGGTCCTGAGATACCTGGGAAGCCATTTCTGGACTTGAAGTATGGCACACAACCTGACACCCAGAATGATGCCAAATTTGTATTTCAGATAAAAATCACTGTCCTTTGCTAATTTAGATTGTCTGAAAATTACATTTACAAGTGTAATTATACTGTATTTAGACAATATCCTAATGAACTAACAATATATATTACACTGTTAAAGAGCAGTCAAAACACATTTGCCTAATTTTTCAACCAAATGAATGTTGAGTAAGTTTGGGGAAACTGATAGTTTTATTAGGACTAATTCCACTGTGTAATCCAGCCAGCCAACCCTCTCACAGTGCAATCTTTAATGGAAACCTTCATGGGCACGTGTCCTTGTATGACACTAAAGCCTGTTCCTCAGTATAGCAGTAAATCCCACTAAGGCTCTTAAGTGAAATTATTTCAGAATGAGAGGAAAGGCTTTATGACTTACAGACCCTCTGTATAAGATGGCTAATAAATACACATCTCACAAATCCTCTTAGGAACTTTGGCAGTCTCTGAACCAACGGAAGCTCTATATTCGATCTTGTGCATCAGGAGCAGGTTCATTCGCTCTTTATTTCCAGATGGGAAAGCGTATTTGACCTGCACCAGTGCTCCAGCTGGGAGATCATGACTCATCCTCCCTCCACCTCCCTCCTCATTTCCCCTCCACATTCACACCCACCTCAAACACCACCAAAAACTGCTCCTACATGAAAGTGCACATGCTCCAACCTGAATTCATGCCTCAGTGCTATTACAGAGGGAGACGACGGAAGGATACCTGAGGAGTTATTGAGAAATAAAGGCCATCAAACTTTGCTTCTGTTGTTAGTCATGATGAGACAGGACGTGGCCCATTGATTTGTGGCTCTATACAAGAGGCTTTCACTTTCTCCTCTCTAGCTATTGATGGAGACAGATGCCAATAGGATGATCCCATATCTCTCATTAGTATACTCTGCATCACTCCCACATGCTGTATGTCCAGTGATATATCAAACCCATCCCCTGTTAAACACTTTAATCACATGCATTTTAAAATGGAGGGATGACAGAAGATGAGCCACTGAAAAGCTGACAATCAAGGTCCTGATTCTCACTGTAAGACTGGAGTTTTCTAATTTATTCAGTGTTATTCTATGAGGACCTAACACAACGGAAGAGGAATATCCGTGACTTCATCCTGCTCAGGAGCTGCACCACTCCTTTAAATGATGAATCCAAGTTGATTTCTGCCCCTGATAAGGACAGATGGGATGCAACGAACTGGGATTTGTTCTCCATCCATCCTGGCCTGTAAGGCCTGTAACATTCCTTGTGTCAGATACAGGCCCAAACTTGACGCAGCAAGCCAGATATACCGTAAAGCACATATTTATTAAGTCTCCTATATTTATGTCGAGTGTATGAGCCCGAGTGTGGGCTTCCATTTTTATCTTATTACAGTATTTACAAATCCTTTCACTATAACTGCGTTTTAGTGGACGTTGTGTGCCATTACTCTTGTTGACAGAGGACGGTGTTCAAGGATGCATTTACAAATTAAACCTGCCCTAGATAAGGGTGCGTGTCAGCAATATGGAGATATGAGGAGCTGCATGCGTGGCTACGTCGACACAAGCAAAATTACAGCATTTTGACCAAAACGTGCACAGATTTTCAGATAAACATACAGAAAAAAATGCAATGCGCCATCGCTGAAAAAGATTCAGATTGTCTTGCTCTTACCTCGTTTTCCCACACACAATAGAACAATACAGCCATCAATACAGGTATTGCGGTATGTCCCATTTTCTCGCCTTATTTTGTCTCTTTTTTGACGAAGTTGCTACTGTAAAATAACTGAGTCCAACATACGACGTCAGGTTACATCAGCCGAAGTGATGGACACTGCGTTCGTCGGCGCCTTTCTGCGATATCTCCTGCGTCTGCGTCTTGATCGCTCTTGCCAACGGGCTCTCCAATGGCAGCCTGGGCTTTTATGTGGATGAAGTCTGACAGAACCAAGCCCTATTTCTGCGGGTATTTATCACAGACATTTCTCACGGCGTCCTCGCTGTGGCTTGGTGAAGAGCGACATCTGGTGGTGACGGGTTGACAATGTACGGCAGGTTCACAGAGTGTTACAGTTTAAAGGAATAATCTACCCTAAATTAAAATGCACGCTCTTTATAGTCACTTCTGCTTAAGGTAAATGATGGAGCCATCCTGAACCTGGTCCACTGTGCAAGATACAATTCACAGCTGGCAATCAGATCACATCTGGATGTCATATCTCTAAGGAAAAGGAGTTGTCCAGACACCGATATTTGCAGGCCCGCAGATTTTTATTGATGCAACGTTCTGACCCTGAATGCCTTCCTCAGACAAACATACATATAAACAAAAAGCACACTACATATACGGATAAATATGACAGCTCCACTTACAATCAAGAGATCACCTGATGATGATGACCATATGATGCTATGGATCATAAGAAAATATATCTTATTATCTTAAATCCAAAAGAGACCACATAAACATACATTTTGTTTATTTGCGTTTTAAATAGGAGAGTGTAAAATGTAGCGATTGTAAATTTTCTCCTCATACTTTTCATTTTCTTTGTGATGAAATATCCTAAACAGTGACTTATTCGGTGCAATTTACTATCCAAGTGTCAGAAGATAAAGCTAATGTGTAACAAAATGATTAAAGGAATAACAAAGTTTAAAAAAACTTCTTTCTCACAAAATTGTCTATAAAGAGACTAAATCAACCTGCCAATACTGCAAAATACTGCAAGATAAACCACTGAGAAATAACCTGCAGTTTCTTATTTTGAAAAATTTAGAATGTTAATTATACACGAATGCACCAAATATTTTGTATTTTATATGCAGAAACCGAAGTCAATACGCAGCCTACATTTTAATTTTATTTGTAAGGAGATCATTTAAGTATGTAATGTACAATCCCACAAATGATTCACCATTTTTGGCAGTAATATCCACAAACGGTCAGCAGGGGGAACACACAGTATGAAAATAAAGATAAACACTTCCTGTTTTCATAGCTGCAGGAAGCCCCTAAAGTGAGAAGCAGCAGGTAGTCGATTATCGATGCCCTGTAACCTTAACATGTCAATGAATACACATGGACAAATATCAGCTGCGGTCTGACAGATCACTGGAGCATTACCTGATGATGGGGAGCATGGCTTTACCCACTGCATGCTCCTGTGTAGCTCCAGGTATTTGGGGCGTGGTTTCTACAGAAGGTGTTTTTAACATTTCCAGGTTGTGACACCTGAGGAAGAGGCGTTAACCAGGTGCCTGGCTCCAACGACAGCAATCACTTTTACTCTTCTTAGCGCTACTAATTTGGATTCACCACTTTTTGAAAAGGGAACAAAGTGAAAGGAAACAAACGGAGTTTTCTGGGATCCTGGTGGACTCCATTTGGAGCGGCTTTGGAAGATGAATTCCGCCAGATACGACGTAAGTTTAGTCAAATGTCACACGTCTACGTTTGTGTCTCCTGTTAGGGACGGTCACCGCCCGTTGTTCCTCTTAACAGTGACAAGATTTTACCACGTCTCCAGAGTTTGTTGGGCCTGCAGTAGATCTTCTGTTTTGTGTAGGAGCTGTGTCTAAATGAGAGTTTACACACAGATGCCTACATGTAGTGACTGACATTTTGAACAGGGATGCACTGAAACTTTGACAGCTTCTATGTTGGAGTTTTCCCTGTATTAGGGATGTTTGAATGAATGATTAAACTAGGCCCACTTGACTAATGTTTAAAAATTAGTCCTCTTGTCGGGTTTTTTTTATATTATGGCCAGGCATTTAAAGACAGATATTAAAGTTGAAAGCTGAGAATGTAATGTTAATATGAGTGTGAGAAAACGAGAAATTAATTTATTTGCCTTCAGAAAAAGAGGTTTTTGTAAATGTGTGTAATTATAAATTATGCCTTGTACAGAATATAGTTCACTGTATTTCCAAGTTATGTTTAATCTTTTTCAAATCTCCTTTTTATTATTCCTTACAGCATACTTGTTTCATTAAGTTATTAAGTAATAAGTTATACTTTTCTGTGGTAAAATGCCATCAGATAAGATAGGGGCATCATCAGACACTGCTGACTTCACATTGATGTTTATCAGATAAAGTTCATTTTCTAGAGAGAAATTTCTTAATGCGGTATGAGCTGCTCTATGTAAGTATCTACTTCTAATATACATACCACTCACCAACACAATGCTTGTGATCTGGATGCGATAATGATCCTGCTGTTAAAGAAACATGCATCGAGGCCTAGAAAGCCTCAGTCAGACTGTGTTAATAGTTGTTACATGGCTGTTTTTGTTTTTGCTGAACATATGGAAACATTTCTTTTGATTTAAAGTTGGTCAAATATCATTAATTGTGATGAATCCTAAAATACAAATGGCATAGTTTCTCAGCCTAAGGCATTATGTAGCCTCACTCACTGAGTCGCATTCACACCATTTAGAAATTCATACGTTTCAAACTGGCTGTTGTGTGCACTGACAACACTGGTAGGCATATTTCTTGGTGAAATATTGAATTATTGATAGAAAAGGTTTTTACTTGAGTATAACGTATATAATATTTTATAACCTTTTGCAATTGTTTTCATGGAATAAAAGCTATTGCTACAGTGAGTTACACTGTTTTTTAGAACAACCAAGACAGCCTCTTAACTAACAATCACCATGCTTCTTAACCTGTGTTTAATATTTAACCATGCTTGTATGTTAAATAAAAACAGGATCTGAAAACTGACAACAGGTATTTTGCCAAACGTATAAGTCAAATTCACCTGGATCATGCATACATTATGTAAATACAGCTCATGTTAACTCATAATTCAGTCCTGGTTAAGAAATACACCGGGCATGGGCAGGAAGATAAAAATCTCTTTGAAAAGGCAGTTCCTCTCAAAGTCAACCTTTTTTTTGGCAGCTTCATGAAAACAGTGTGGAAATACTCACTGTAGTACGATAAAGTACTTAATCGACTGTAAGTAACTCAAAACCTTCATGACACAGGAGCATAATTTGTCATAACAGGATGGATGAATACATTATTATTATGTTTATATATAGAATATCTTTTTTACATTACATGGATAGACCACACAAAGCTAACATTTAAAGTTATAAATAGCCATTAGAAAAGTTGCAAAATGCTGTACATAAATCTCATTAAAAGACCAAAGTTGCTATGCTATACTTCTGCTCTTTTTGATTCTCAGTTGTTTTAAATTGCATGAGCATTAGTGAAACTGTTGATAAAAATTAACGTTTTTGCCTCTGTTAATATTTTATGGCTTAATAAGGTCACTCGTAGATACTGGATCAAATGGGAACTCTGGTTAATGCTGTCAGGCTGCTCTCAGTTTGTGTGGTAACTCAGCCTAGAAACCAAAGAATAGTTCTTCAGGCAAGGCCATACCGCTTTCCTTTTGCATCTCATCCCACAGTTCAATGGTAGTCATGTTGAAACTGAGCAACAGAAGTGAAGTGAACGTGGCGCTGATGTCTCTTATTGACTGTATTGAATGATACACTCACAAATACTGGCAAAACTGTTTAATGTTAAACAAGTTTAATTGTTTGTAACTGTGTTGTTTCCCCATTATCGGGGCTCTTTAGCTTTAGCCATCCTTGGGCACATATGGGAGTCTGCCTCCACAACAGGGCAACAGCAGTATTGTTTCTTGCTTCAGTCGTGCTTAGTTCCTTAGTGAGGAACCTGGGGTGAGGATGATATGTCATCTTATTTACTCCCAACCAGCCTAGCTCCACTTTGAACAGCGAGGTGTAGCGCCACTTTTCCTCATACTCAGTTTCCTGGCTGATGGTGAGGCTGCTTGAGGCTTCTGCCAGCTAAGAGATACTGTATGTGTATATGTTTCTCCATACTGAAAGGAATTATGAGATCACTGATGCCTAAATAGCAGTGACTGACTTTCATTTGATTTGCGCTTTTGGTTGCAGTCTCCAGGCTGGTGTGTCTTGATAAGATAGATCAATGCTGGTGAGCACAGACCAGCCATATGAAAGCTTTTCAAAAGGGAACACCTTTTACTTGAATTATTATTTGTCAATCATCAATTATTTTTTAAATGATACAAAATATAAAGTCGGTATACTGATCTTACCACACCGCAGGCTGCACCTGTGCGACAGACAAGAAGGATGGTTGTGTAGTGCATCAATGCTGTCCACACCCAGTTAAGACTAGGGGTTGGGGATTTGATGTGGTGTTGCTGCTGCTGGACCCGACTGACTGAAACGTGACTGCCTGGCTGAGACATGAAAATAAATGGCTGAAGCCCAGAATTCCTTAGGCCTTTGTTTCACACCAGCCCATTAGATTTGTCCTGGCATGACTGTTGGACAGTGAGCCAGCATGAGTAACACCGAGACTCTGAAACTGACGTATCATCCATTATTAACTTTATTATTTACACCTGTGGTTTTCCTGCTGTGATGTCATGAAACATTAGGAAGGATTAACACATTGAATTAGAAGGTGGCTAGAAAAAAGAGATGATCACAAATTTCTGTCTAGTGGTGAAGGCATGTAAGAATCTATAGCCTCCCCCACAATGAAAATAATGGGGCAAAGATGGGGGGAAAAAAACGGCTTTAGTCACACACACATAGGTCATGCAAGATACCTGTACACTTTTGTGCCTGTGAGAGACTGAGTCACAAACCAGTTTCACACAGTTTGTAGGATGTTAATTTCTCTGTTGTGTTGGTTAACACGCCTGTCTGTTAAGATAAATATGGCTGACAGTCTGGCATGTTTAGAGAGTCAATCAGTCATTAAAAATAGTCAGACGGCTATTTACTTTACTTATGCACCGATCAGCGCTAACATTATGACCACCTTCCTAATACCGCGTACACAGGAGTCAGTGCAGCAATCTGTCGGCACTCGTGTCACTCTGCAGATCACTGTGCATTTTGCGTGAATCCATTTGCTTCCAAAGATCTACTGTCAGGAAGAGCACACACATGCTGAACATTCAGTGAAAAACCTTGGTAAAAGGAGTGAAAACTGTGGTCACGAGCACAAGTTAGGAATAATGTTTTAGACCAACATTTTTAGAACAGCCTCCCCACTCTGGGTGTGACATCACCACTGTAGCTGCTGAATGTTTCTCTTCATAGAGACCAATGTACAGTGTTTCTCATTTTCAGCCTTTTTAACAAAGATTCAAACAAAGTGGAATCTTTTGAAAAGGACGAATGAAATTTAAACTTCAATCTACAGTAGATCAACCTCATCATCAGTGACCATCCATGACCCTGTCACTGGTTCACTGTTTGTCCTTAGACACTGTTGGTAGGTACTAACCACTGCAGACCAAGAACACCCACCAAGACCTGCAGTGTGGGAGATGCTCTGACCCAGTCATCAGCCATCACAGTTTGGCCCTGGTCAATGTTCACTTGCTGCCTAATATACCCCACACACTGACAGATGCCACTGTAATGACATAATTAGTGTTATTCATTTCACCTCTCAGTGGCCATAATGTTATGGCTGACTGGTGTAGTGACACTCAAAATGTGAAATATTGCACAGTGGAAATTTACTATAAAAATGCTGAATACTGGTCCAAATATACAAACCCGATTCCAAAAAAGTTGGGACACTACAAAATGTAAATAAAAGCAGAATGCAATGATGTGGAAGTTTCAAATTTCAATATTTTATTCAGAATACAACATAGATGACACATCAAATGTTCAAACTGAGAAAATGCATCATTTTAAAGGAAAAATAAGGTGATTTAAAATTTCATCGCATCAACACATCTCAAAAAAGTTGGGACAAGGCCATGTTCACCACTGTGTGGAATCCCCTCTTCTTTTTATCACAGTCTGCAAATGTCTGGGGACTGAGGAGACAAGTTGCTCAAGTTTAGGAATAGGAATGTTGTCCCATTCTTGTCTAATACAGGCTTCCAGTTGCTCAACTGTCTTAGGTCTTCTTTGTCGCATCTTCCTCTTTATGATGCGCCAAATGTTTTCTATGGGTGACAGATCTGGACTGCAGGCTGGCCATTTCAGTACCCGGATCCTTCTTCTACGCAGCCATGATGTTGTAATTGAT